ACGGCTCTGGATCCTACATGGCTGGCTATGTAGTTCATGTCTAGACCCAGTGGCTTGACAAACATGCTGGGCACATGTGTATGTGTATCCAAAATTCTGAGAGGAGACTGGAGATGAAACTGTGGTGTGTCTATCCCACAAGGGGGGATTCTCATCCCCCCCCAACCCTATCTGTTTCTCTCTGGTGAGCGCACAGGCTCTATAGCAAAATAAAACAAAACAAAACAAAACACCTTTGCCTCTAGGGAGATAATATTAAGAATCTGACTTAAGAAGGAAACAAATTCCTCTTCCATATGCTTTCTATACTGTAAAAGAAAAAAAGCTTTGTTCTCATTCTTAAACAAGTCAGCAAAACACTTTTTAAAGAAATAATTATATTTAACTTTATTTATTTACTTATTTTAATTTGACCAGAGAGGCACAAAGAGAGAAAGAGAGAGAGAGGGAAAAAAGGGGGGGGAGAAAGTGATAAAGCAAGCCACCAGGTTCAAGACTTGAACCGTGGTCAGCCGTGTGGGAGTCCAGCGCGTTTAACCACCATGCCACCTGCTGGCCCCATCAACAAAAGACTTAGACTTATATTCTTAGGAAGAACTGAGACTCTAGATTTCTACCAGAATGCTTTACACATTAACTATATTTTTATGTAAGAAGATACTGCATAGTTTTGGGGATTGAGGTCAGCTCCATTACCAAGATATTTTCACATAGTCTTCAAATAAAAAAACCTCTTCAGGGACCAGCAGTTGGCATAACAGCTATGTCACTGAACTCCTGTGTGGTCAACCGCGGTTCAAGTCCTGGACTCAATCACTTAAACTCACCCATGTTCATGTGGGCCCAAGATCCCTAGAGGAGAATGGAGAAGGGATGGTGGAGTGGCCATCCCTCCCTGGGGGTGATTTCTTGCTTTCTGTCTCTCTGGCAAGCACACTCACCCTATAGCAAAAAAGCCTCTCAAAAACAAACAAAAACCTTTTGAAGGCCAACAGGTAGATAACGATTAAGATGCTGAACTCCCACATGGTCAACTATGGGTTGAGTCCAAGGCCAGGTATATGTGCATGCTCAAAATCCTGAGAGAAGAGGGACCAACAGTTACCGTAATGGCTATGTCGCTGGACTCCCACAAAGTTGACTGCGGTTCGCGTCCCGGATCCGGTGGCTTGAAATTGACGTCGGGCGCGTGTGCCCAAGATCCCGAGAGGAGAATGGAGGAAAGGGGATTGCAGTGTGACTATCCCCCCTGGGGGGTGATTTCTCGCTTTCTGTCTCTATGTCTCTCTCTGTCTGGCGAGCGCACGTGCCCTATAGCAAAAACCTCTCCAAAAAATAATTTTTTTTCATCACAATTTGCCTTATAAAACATTTAAAAATCTCTCTGTATACTACTCTAAAATTATAATCATTATCTCCCTGTGAATGGATGAGGAAATAAGAACTAGTTATTAACTAAAAACCACCAAATACAAAACTACCCAGGCTTCCCAATTTATACAGTAATTACTTTGTATAAGTAATTTTAACTTCACTACTAAACATCTGCCACAGTTGCTGTCTTATCTATTTGCTTTTTATGGAAGTACGCATCTAATCAGTCAAAAGTCTCAATACATTAAATGATTATTTCCAAGGTTTGGAGACTCCAGATACATTCCTTACTGAACAAAAACAAATTTTCATGATATCAAACCTATCTGAATATAAAACTGTACATCAAGTTGATACTTTATTTCCAAAATCCCCTCTAACTGTATTCTCCCAACTCCATACATTTTTTTTTAAAGAGATTTTTGCTGCAGGGCATGTGCCTGCTGGAGACAAAGAGTAATCAATCCCAAGGGAGGATAGGACCGTCACAATAATCCCTTCTCCTCAACTCTCCTCTTGGGATTTTGGGCACACTCACATACGCCTGACCCGCATAAATTTCAAGCGACTGGGTCCTGGACTCAAACCGCAGTTGGCCATGTGGGGGTCTAGTGGCATAACCATTACGCCATCTGCTGGTTCTGTACCTTTGTTTCAACATAGTTTACGACCAAGAACCAATATAAGCAATTTTAACATTTCTTTTTTAAAAGAATTATTTTTATTTAACTTTATTTATCCATTAATTAGTTTATTTAAATCTGACTAGAGAGGGACAGAGGGAGTACGAGAGAGAGTGAATACAAGAGAGAGAGAGAGAGAGAGGGGGAGAAGTTTATTTAAATCTGACTAGAGAGGGACAGAGGGAGTACGAGAGAGAGTGAATACAAGAGAGAGAGAGAGAGAGAGGGGGAGAGAGCCGCCAGGTCCAGGACTAGAACTGTGGGAGTCCAGCACCCTTAACCACCACTCCACCTGTCAGCTCCACAATTTAACATTTCTTATTCTACTCTAAGAACTGAGTATTAACCTATATTAAACAAATTGGTTAAAACAAACAAACAAACCCAAAAAACCAGCCCCAACAAGTGCATACACCCTATGGCAAACTCTCCCTAAAAAATAATTTAAATAAAAATAATTAAAAATCATTTTAAAAATCGGGACCAACAGATAGGCTATGGACATGGGCTATGTCACTGGACTCGCCCATGTAGTCAACCTCAGTTTGAGTCTCAAACCTGGTAGCTTGAAACATGCTGGGCATGTGTGCGTGCATGCCCAACATCCAGAGAGGAGACTGGAGAAGGGCTTATGGCCTGGTCATCGCATCCAGGGCGTGATTTCTTACTTTCCGTCCCTGCTGAGCTCAAGAGCCCTACAGCAAAAATCTCTCTTAAAAAAAAAAAAAAAATCACACAGACATAATCTTACCCACACACACTATAGGATTTAGAAAAGTTCATGGAGGGCCAGCAAGTGGCATGGAGGTTAAGGCACTGGATCCACATGGCCAGCTGCACTGTTGGAGTCCCAGCCCCAGTGACTTGAAAATCATGCAGGGCACACATGTGTGCCTGTATGCCCAAAATTCCAAGAGGAGACAGAAGGGATTTTGGTGTGGCTATCCCCTGGGGGAGGTGATTTCTCACCTTCTCTCTCTCATCTCTCTCTGGAGAGTGTATGTGCCCTACAGTAAAAATTAAAAAATAAAAATAAGTTAAAAAAAAAAAAAGAATGAGGACCAGCAAGCATGGTGGTTAAGGCACTGGACACTCCTATATGGCTGACCAAGGTTAGAATCCTGGAACTGGTGGCTTGCTTTCTTACTTTCCCTCTCTCTCTGTGTGTCTCTCTCTAGTCAAATTAAAATAAACACATGAATAAATAAAATGAAATTCTTTAAAAAAAAAAAAAAAGAATGTCCAAAGTTCATAGAAAGTGAAATTAAAGTACAAGTAATTTTGGTGCAAAAAAATTTTAAATCCATGGAGTTTTTTCACATTACATGTTTTTTATGAACTTTTTGAAGACACCTATCTATATAGAGAGAAATGAAGTATTCTTCTTAGAAACTGGGTATCAAAATACTTTATTTATTTATATTTATTTTTCTTTTCTTTTTTTGGGGGGAGGTTTTCGCTATAGGCCGTGTGCGTTGGCCAGAAAGAGAGACAGAAAGCGAGAAATCACCCCCAGGGGGGATGGTCACACCTCAATCCCTTCTCCTCCATTCTCCTCTTAGGATCTTCTTGGTCACACACTCCCGGTGTGAGTTTAAGTCACCGGGTCCAGGACTCCAACGCGGTAGACTGCATGGGAGTCCAGCGACATAGCCATTACGCTATCTGCTGGTCCCTCAAAATACGTCAATATCACTTTTAATAAATAATATGCTCACTTCCTCTCAAGTTTAAAATCTTAAAATCCTCCTGTTTTGGGGGTTATTTTAATGCTTATGTGTCTTTACCTTCTAGTAAATGATATGCTAGAGATTGAGAAGCAGCTTAAAAATTAGTAAGGATCAGGAAAATCAGTTCAGACAAGCTGCTGTACAGATAGGATGTAACGCATGCCTCATTTTGTTTGTGAAAGTACTTGTACTACAAAGCACTGCACCGTGATAAACAACTTTCAATCACAAAGTTCGATGCATCTACCCATAAGGCCTATCTCGGTTCTGAAAGTCGAGAACTTTACAATAACCAAGATTTCTGTTCCCATGACTGGCCACCTGCTGTGGCTAGGTACTTGACGAAATCCTTTTCTTGTCACATCGAGCACAAGACCTAGACCTGTGTCATGAGAATGACAGCCTAAGCTGTCGGAGCCTCTGCCTCCAGGTAAGATGCTAAGGCAGGAGTAGACTCCGCCGAGATTCCCTGACAGGATCGCCACCCTCACGGCCAGATGGCTAATCCTCTAGCACCTTCTCCTGCCTCTCAACTTTAACACCGGGCTGAAGTTTCACTCACTTTCATTTTCCCAACGCCACGCTATGCTCAAGCAGATGTGAATTTCAAACACAAAGGCGATGACTTCGGGTCAGAAGCCACAGCAAGGGCCGAGGGAGGTCGCGAAGACTCAGAGGACCCGGGTATTCGGTGCCGGGGTCCAGCGCGCCGGCAATACTCGGCATACGCGCAGGGCCGCCTTTCCTCCCCGCCCTGCCTGGCAGACCCGGTGGTCCAGCGAACGCAGCAGCGCCCGCTCCCGTTCCTCGGAGCACCCTTCAGTCGAGTCCGCGGTGCCGGGTCGGAACCGCCGGCAGGCCCCTATTCCGCTGCCTCGCGCTCCCAGATCAGACTTCACAGGCACCCGAGCCCCGCCCGC